GTCAGTGGTTCGAATCCCGTACAGGCCTGAATTTTTTTCAGGTCTGATCTTCACTATTGCTTAAATAGTGCTTTACTGCGAAGGATCGTGCAAAACATGCATTGTTGTTAGCCAACGAGTCTCAACAATAAACCAGTGGCAGCTGTTTAGAAGTTTTCTTCATTTTCATAATGTTCATTGTGGGTATTCTGCATACTAAGCGAAGACGTTTCGTCTTTTCCTTCACAAGAAATTACTAAAACAATTTATACATTCCGCTTACGGCTGTCGTCTCGAAACAATTTAGGCCTTGGTAATAAGAAGTAGTAGTAGTAGTAAAACTTTATTAAAAGTGTCAAGAGCCGTCTAGCTAGGGAAAAATCCCTTACTAATTTGGGGACACTAAAAAAGAAAAAAGATTAGGAGCTATTTACAGTAATATATATATTAAAACTAAGAGAAAATCTATGGTTAACTAGTTACGGGATTTGTAATAAAAATAAACAAAATTCAAGAGGAGCAGAGGCTACAGCGTGTGCAGCCATTATCCAAGAGCTCACTTATAATGAGTTTGGCGTATCTTACCTTTGAACGACTTGAGGGTCTCGACCTCCCTTATACTCTTGGGTAATTTTGTCCATAGCCTGGGCCCTAGAAATCTATTAGAGTGTTTGCCATAAGTGACAGTTTCATACCTGGGTATAGAGAAATCGGCTTGCCTTAAATAGACAATATTCGTATTCCTCGACGGCCCTGGGACGAGTAAGCGCTTGCGCGTGAATTCGATGCTAATACGGGGAAAAGTTGCCGCGAAATACAAGAAAGTTATGGTCGGTTTGGCAGAAATGGAAGTAATTTTTAAAAACTGGAAGGTTCCAGAGCTTAAAAATACCTGCAGGCTCGAGGAATATCTGTCTCCAACTAAAAGAAGGAAGAATTAGTCGAACTGACGGAAAAGCCCACGAACTCGCTCTCGAATTGACCGACAACTGTGAGTCCATAAGTGATGTTGTGAATGCGAAGTTGGTTACAAGAAATGGTTTAATCCGAAATCCAGAAATCCAGATGGTTTTTAACCTTCGATTAGTCAGACTTAGTTGCCTTCTGAATTCTGTTTGTTGTGGAAGCATTCTTCAAACGTCTAGTCTCCGGATCCTGGCGTTGTTTCATGTTTCACTTCTTTTCGTTGGAGGTTTAGGAAAGTCAAATATCGTGGGAAAAGAGTTTGCCTTTGTTGGCCCTAACCCTCCTACAGAGTGTTTAGAGCATATACGAGTATGCCTTGTGACATTTAGGCTTTCCAGCCGGCATGCTGCGATCCACCTTCAGCTTCGACGTCTTTCCTGTCCACTTATCTGAGGAGCGTACTGTTTTTTTTCATCATTTGTTGGCAACAGTAGAAAGTAACATTCGAAACGTTGGGGTATTTGATTGGGTTCTTTTTCTTAGCCTCGCTGTTGGTACAGTTGTAGGCATAAGAATGATGTTTCGACATTTTTTACGCGTAATCGAAGAAATCACTACATAAACACTTCCCCGCATCAGCCTCGCATTCATGCTCAAGGCCTACTCGTCCCAGGATCGTCGGGGAATACGAATGTTGTCTATTGTAATTGCTATTGTGTACTTTAAAGATGTTGCTTATGTATGTAGGACACAGTTTATGCTTTGCTCTGTACATGAGGATGTACAGGTCCTGTAAGCGCCTATTTAGTAGAGTGGGCAGATCTGCCCTCTCTAATAACTGTTCGTAACTAGAATTATAGTTATTGAAAACCGCCCTAAGTCCTCTTTCTTGAAGTCTTTCAAGCTTTCGAGTGTCGCTCGCTTTGCAAAAGTGCCACACTAGGTGACAAAACGTGAGGTATGGTATAACCGCGCTTTTGAACAGTATTAGCTTAGATTTCGTAGAAATTAAGTTACGTAATCTCATTAGAACGCCAATTCTCTGACTAGCTTTTTTGCAGATAGAGATTATATGCTCAGAGAAATTTAGCTTGGAATCTAACTCTACTCCTGGAAGTTTAATGTTATCTTTGGTTTGGATTTCAACATCATTCACACAGATGTTACTGTAATTTTGAGTGAAGCCCAAGTTCAAAACCTGATATTTCTCAAGGTTTCCCGCCAGTAAGTTAGAGTCATACCACTTTGTTGCTAAGTTGGCACTATCCTTTAACTGGGATGTGACAGCTGCCTGATCTGCACCTGCGTGGTAAATCTGGTGGTCGTCTACATACATAGACAATTTCGCTGTAAGACAGTAGGATAGATCATTCTGAAAAACATTCCATAAGAACGGGCCAAGCGCGGAACTCTGAGGACAGCCACGACTCACAAATCGGCTCGAACTAACATGACGGCCGATCTTTACTTGATATATATATAGTTTATTCAGGAAATTTTGAAATCATCAAAGTCGTCATTCACTCCTTTTCCCTTAATTCAACAGTAAACTTACAAATTTTCACCGCTCTAAGCGGTTTTCGCTGGCCTACATAGCGATTCTACAAATTTTTGAGTGGTCAAGAAATATGATATCATAAAACGAATTTTGCTAACTCTTACTAACATTGAGTATCCTTCCGTGAAGTTACATGGCTGCCTGACAGTCTTCAGCATTAGCTCAAGTTTCCTCAAAAGGGTCTACATAAAGAGCCATATAAACCTTGGTGAGAACTAAGTTCTCTTGTGCGAAAGAAATCGATTCAGGACGCGAAGAATTTGACATAATTTATTCCCCTTATCTCCACTCAATCCCTCTTTTTCCCGGACATGAATCATATGAAGCATCTGAATACGATTCCAATTCAGTTATCTCGCACACAGGCTTGGAGAACAGAAAAAGTTTTCAGCTAGAGGGCGTAAACCAAATTCTCCTGTCTAATGTATAAGGGGGTCATAAGGAAATTGCTGGAAGTTGATAGAGAGAATTACCGATTGAATCGTTGGAATTCAAGAGGTAAACGCCACTTAAAGATGACTAAGGTAGAGGACGGCCTTGTCAATCTTTGCTACCTCGATATCGGCGCGAGGACTGGAAGGGAATAAGTGAAATTCTCTCGCTGACGTCACGGCTCTCGGTAGCATCTAGTCTTTGGCCGAACAAAGAATGCTATGGGACTAACTTGGCTGAAGGTTTCTTACAGTTGGTGAATCTTTGAGTTAATGGTCTTGATAAATCTACCAAGCTTAATAACCTTAATTTTTTGGGTATTTTTAAAATTATGGTCATTTGGAGAAGAATGCTTTCTGCAGGGGTTGATATCTCTATTGCAGAGCCACATAAGAACACCGCGTCTAAGCTTCAATAAAACCAAACAATTAGGTCATTACCGATTAACAATTCTCATGGTTCACGCTGTGAGCTTGCACATTAACTTCTTCCAGTGTGACACTAAGTGTCACCATCGTCCACTATAGTAATCGAAAAGAAGCAGAGTGCGACAGTCAAAGATGCTTTGGCGGCCACGTGCTGTTAAAAATGATGCCTGTTCAATATTGGACTAACTACAATTCAAACTGAACGCTTCGAACGCTTCCCGTGAGTTTCAATAAACTTCAGGACTTTACCTCTTGACGACGACATAATCTGAACATTATGTTTTGTCTTTTGCAGGAATAAGGATATAAGCCAACTCTCACTGACTTCATAAGTTGTGACCCCGCCCCTGTAACCTTTCCATGACTCTCTCAAACCTCAAAGTGTCGATGAACCTGTTCGGTCGCAATTAGAATTAGAGGAGCATGTTTGGTGCTGTCATCCGCTCGATGGTTGCCATTTCTGCTATTCTGGTTTCACCTTTTAACCTGAAATTTGTGGATTTTTCTGTATGTTATATGTGTCAATCCCCCTCCCCCCCCCCCAGGTTCTTAGGTCCACTATCCTTGTATTAGTTTTTGCAATAGTGTCACTGATGTGAGCATCAAATTTGGGGGTTTCCGTTTAATTTTAACCTGTAACAAGGGTAATACTAAAAACATTCAAAGAAACGAAAGGTAATAAAACTTAGACGAGATTCAGCCGCTGAAAAAGGTCATAATACGTACTTATTGACTGAGCGGCAGGAGCGGACAGGAAAATATTTACCTAGGGCCATGACGTACGGACTGAGCGCAGTGAGGTCCGTGCCTCATGCATAATCGTGTTACATACATTTACGGGTCAATCAGGGGGATTGTATGTATCCCGTATGTGTTCCGGTATCTGGTAAAGGATGAGGTTCATGTAAGCAATACACTGCACTTATTAGTTTACCAGCGTGATAACCCAGCGTGATAACCCAGCGTGATAACCCAGCGTGGTAACCCAGTGTGATAACCCAGCGTGATAACCTATTCAGGATGTAGGGAGTGATATGTAAAACGTTTGTACAACACGAGCCATAAGCGAGTGATTCACAAACTTTATTTCACACATACTAAGATTTACACTGTGAAGTACTATCATTCGTCCCTGATTGGACGAACGATGTATTTTCACGGTCGTTCTCTTCAAATCTTTTAAGTGTGTCGGTCGGTTAGAAAAAATCTCAGTACGTATGAAATAAAAACAACATACCACGCATCGAAAGTGCTTGAACGATTCTTATTTCCTCGTTGCGATGCATCGAAAAACCCGCTCGTTCACTGCGCTCACTCGTTCACATTTTTTTTTATGCATCGCAACTTGTATATAAACATCACTCACGCAAATTTTCAGGGAATAATCTCTATTGCGTTCTCATCCCAAGTTGGTTATTACGCCAGTAAACTGATATTGCTTTTATGAAATAAACTAAATTTCTATGGGTTAACGGGTGCAAAAAAGGATAGGTTTTTGACTAATCATGGAATTTCGATTAGTTCATAAATTCAACAAAATTCAAAGATTGATAGTTCATAAATTGTTGATAATCGTATACGCCTCTTAATTTCTGAAGAATAATTAACCAGTTTTCTTAAGTGGTCCCCCGCACTACCTGCTCCATGGCATAAAGCATTTAAAAGCTTTTTACTTTATTGGATTAATCTGCTGGGAGTGACAGGCCATTTGATAGCTTCCCTGACATTCAAAGATATAAATTCAACCACCAAGCATTTCTGATGAAGCCTTTTACCTTTGGTTATAGTTATAGTTAGAATGACCTGAGCAACTGAGTTTCTGTTCCTATAAAAAAGCAATATTTGTCAGGACTAATCGCTCAACTTGATCTCTTAACGATGGCCAGTGAAAAACTGTTTTCTTTAAAAAGGATGGATATCCTGTTCCGCTGTGTTGACGTGGCGCAGCAAATTCGCCTTTTAACCTCTTTGTTAATGTCTCTCTTGAAGAAATAGTATGCCAATGGGTTGATGGCGGAGTTACACACTAAAATAGGGATTTTGTAGTCAGTGTCACCGCATGAAGATGGAATATTGAATAGATAAATTAAGGTACAGCGCAGAAAAATCGCGTAACACACAAGAAACAAACTTATCACAATCCCCATCATTATCATAGCAGACTTTTCCTGAGTTTTGAAGAAAACCTGATGGTTGAAGCGTAACTGTTTTGATAAAAAACGAGTGGCTCGATTATGTTTGAATACAACTTGTAACATCGATACAAAGCAAAATATTAGCATCAAACTTGGAAAAACCTCTAAAAACAGAATTAAACAAGTTAACACCTTAAGGACGGTTGCCGATTTAAAAACTATACCAACGCACAGAGTGAAAGGAATTGCCCAAGATACGAGAATCATCTGAATGACCCGGCGACGGGACATAAATGTCAAATATTTTAAAGGTTTAAGAACAGCAATGTAGCGATCCAGGACTAAACTGCACAGGTTTGTCACAGACGCATATGCGAAGAAAATCCTCACACCATACGCGCTGAGAAAATGTAGATGATTGCAAACTGTTGTCTTCTTACAAACATACAAAAAGGGAACTGCACTTATTCCAACACACAAGTCCGCCACTGCGAGTGAAACAATAAGCGCGTTGGTTTTGGTGCGAAGCTGCCGTTTGCTCCAAACAAGAAAGATGATAAATCCATTTCCAGTTATGGTCAGAATGGAAAGGGACCAGCCAAGAATCCAAAACCAGGTTTTCATTTATAATTCTGAGTATACGCTCTTGAAACACGATAATGTTGACCGATTTTACTCAAAAAAAGTCAATGAGCGAGAAATAAATAGTTGAAACCCAAGTGCTTTCTATTTCACTAACATATTATGTATGATATTTCCTAAGAATAGCAAACAAATCAGGTTACAAAAACAGGCTATTTACGAACCCTAATACAACTACATGTATACGCGCCATGAAATCTCAATAAGGAATATTACAAATTTATTTTCCTTCTTTCCAAAATGTAAAAAGCTTCAAAATTTTCCATAGCGAAACGATTCCTACTTTTTTGCCCTTCGTTTGCCTAGACGCCGCCATACTTCCGCAAAGCGAGTAACATCAATTAGAGTCAGAACTATAGAATGCTGATTGGCTGAGACAGTATGCACTCTTCGTTTTATCATCACTGAAGATTAATTTTGAATATTTGATCTTGATTGACTGATCGCACCTCGTCCGCAATGAGTTTGCTTCCTAGTTAAACTGAGTTTGGAAAAAGCCCAGGGACTTAGAACTTTCGACTTTGATCGACTTAACGCAATCTCCACAAAAATTAGGAAGGCAATCAGCATGCGGCAAAATGCACGATATACCATGACAGCACTTCTGATAAGTTACCACTGAGTTTCACTAAGTGGTCTTAGACCACCTGTATAACGGCTGTCATAGGCTTTTATCCTATTTATTTAATTTATCTACAAAATTGACTGGTAACTTGATAGCTTCAATGCTATTCAAATGATGTAGAAAACAATCATCAAATATTTTTAGTAAGTCATACTTAATTCATATCTTTCTAAACATAAAATATTTCTTATGATTGTGCTATGAAATATTTGATATTCAGCTATTTGAATTCTGTAGTTATTTGGGTTTAAGTGATCGCAATGAGTTTCCTGATTGTGGCTGTCTTGTCTTAATTCCATAAGTGCGCATGCTTAGTTTGTTTACTGACCTTGCTGGTAGACTCACACGAAACCTCTTGTTTTGGCTTTGGCAGTCTAAGGTCATTTGATATATCAACAAAGTTCAATTGTAAAACCTCTTGTTTTGGCTTTGGCAGTCTAAGGTCATTTGATATATCAACAAAGTTCAATTGTAAATTGGCCACCGTACCGAGTTACGGTGGCCAATTTACAACTTCAACTTGCTACACAAATCAGGTTACAAAAATATATGAATTTCATATATTTCATTGTATCTCAACTTCAACTTGGTTGATATACCAAATTACCTTGTTACCTCCACCGACGCAGCACCACAGTTTCTTTAGAAACTTTCACCCTTTATTCATTTGGCAGTCTAAGATTGTTTTTGTTGATCGGAAGCATTAAGTACGTTGTTCCTCATTGGTAAGATTCTTGTAAAAGCATTTGGGTCGGTATTCTGGCAACAAATGTTTAATCACGCTTTCAAGATCAGCCGGCGATTGCATGACCACCATACCCACTTATGCCTACCAACAGATGATGTAAAAGCATGTACTTTAGAGTTGTTAGGCAGCGAGAATAAGAGAGAGTGTGTGATTGATGATCAGTCAGTCACAGTCAGACTGGTTAAAGAGAAAGGGAAGTGAATTTGATCTGGGCAGGACTGTATTAAAGAATAGAGATTTAAGAAGACTCGAAAGGACAAGTCGAGAGTCCTTGATGCCTTTCACTGAGCGTGCTGCGCTGTGCAGCTGGCTTTCTCCCATGTTATACGAATCAACAATTGATTGTTAACAGGATAATCTGCTTTTATCAACTCTGTTGATAATGTAAATTTGAGTTTCCAATGCTAAAGTTTCGAGCGTAAGTCTTTCGTTAGGGCGAAGGGGCTAATGCTCTGACGGAAGGGTTAACGCTTGACACGTCAGCTTTGGAAACCTTTAGGGTGTCCAATTTACATTATCAACTCAATTGATAATACCAAATTATTTCTCTTGGCATTGAAGTAAATCTCCTTACATACAAAATGAATTTGTATTATGAATTTATATTATAGTAAGAGCTAAACTCTTAGGGGGTTGGAAGAATTCGCAAAAGTTGTGCAAACCCGAAACTTGACTAAAAATAACTTTACGTTTCGACGGCGACATGTCATCGTCATCATATGCAAATGATGAATAACAAGTGAAGATTTATACACTAATAAAAATGTGAAATAGCAATGTGACATGAAACAAGAGTGTCATACCATTCAGACAAACCTTAATAAAGCGCAGATCTAACGCTGATGCCGTTTATTAGAGTCTTCCGTTGACATTTTGAAAGCTGAATTAGTGATGCAAAATTCAACCGTTATGCTCAGTCTCTTATTTCTGTTCCCTTTTATTCCAGTGTCATTGATTTCACAAACTTGGCCAGTTTTTAATATTATTTTTCCTAGTTTGAAGCGCCTTCGCCGCTCGATATTTTATACTCGTCCCCTCGACTACAAAGCTGAATGATTAAATGTGATAAGCAACCGAACAATAATCTACACTAATGCTCCACCGGTAGTTTAACAATACGTCCGCGGCGTTACGATAACATACAAGTATTTCATGCCGAGGAAGGCCGATTAGTTTTTTCGGATGTGATATATTATTACCGATTACAATAAAGACACTACCACAATGAAAACGATATTTATGAATATCATAATTCCCTGCGATGAATATTCAATTGGTGAAACTAGAGGCATAGAATGAGAAAGGATTACTGAACGGTTCTTAACATTGCGTTTTGGCTTTTCGGCTTCTTTACTAAATGGCACGTTCCTAGTTTATTAAGAATTTCTAAAAATAGATATACATGTGAAACTCAGTGCAATAGTTAAACGGAGACTTTTCCCTCTGTCGTGAGATGTTAGAATCGATGGTCAAATTGTGATAACCAGGTCAGTGAAAACTGATCTGTATTAATGTTCATCTTCAGAAAGTTACCTCCCTCCCCCGAAAAATGCAACTCCAGAGAATGGTAAAGAATGATTCATTTTGGCACAGCTTGCCAATAGCTCAGGTTTCTGATCCTTTTAAAAAACCTGAAGAAGTGAGTAGTGCAATGAAGGGCGGGAGGCAGAGGGGCACAAAAGTACGGGAGGCGGAGAACGTGGTAAGGGAAGTGGGAGGCGTGACTCCCCTGCCCCCCCCCTCCCCCCACTTACAGGTGTGGTCACAGGAGTGCCTCGATCGTAACCGCAAATCGAATCAGTCGATAAAGGAAGTACGACATAAGCCTCCCTTCCATGTTTATTTGTATGAATTTTTCTTAATAGATTTTTCATGGCGCTCGTACATGATCGTTTGCTTTTCTTGCTTCTTTTAATATTTGTCTTAAGGCGCCGAAGACATCGTATAAATGACAAGACGTTAACAGCTTTCCATGTGCGTCTCTTTGTGCTTTAATCTTAAAAATCTCAGCCCAATTTATCTTAATTGTCTGGATATCTTCTGATATCTTTTGCCAAACGCTCGTCTTTGGAGCAGATTTTAGTTTGCTTCATGTTACAGAGAAGACTGACCTCGCGGCCAGGCCAGCTTCATGCCTAAGGGTCTTCACAAGATATAATAGGTCCGGGTAGCGTACATAGTAACTTATCAATAAAGGCTTCTTCGCGTCCATAAAGAAACTAGAGCATAAGACACGTTATCATTATTATTATGGCAAAAATTAATGAAAAAATAATTCAATGTATATATCAACATCTTTGCGGGCACAGCCTAGGCAATGTGGACCTGGGCCCGGTTGTTCAAAGTCCGATTAGCGCTAACCCAAGGGTTAAATTTTTATCCGGGTTTCTTTATTACCTTATTCAAAAACCTTTTTCGGACAATTTCCTCTATTCTCTTTAGGGCATCCAATCATCAAATTGTAGACAAAAGAAATGGTACTGAATTTTCTTTCAAAGCCTTTCAAATCTGAAACCAGATTTCACAGTAACCCTGGGTTATCTTAACAACCTAGTCCAGGATATAAAATATATTTTTTACACGACTCGGGCAGTCAGAGGGCCAATAACTAAAATCAATCAATCAAAATGGTCTATTGCCGGTCAATATTCTCTCAGTATTGGACCGGGCACTGTCCCGAATGGTCCCGAATGGTCCCGAATGATACCGCACTTGTGTCCCTTTGAACTTCAGTCGTATAATAAATCTCTTATTAACCAAGCTTGCTCGGGACCGTACTGGAAGAATATCGGCCCTCGGTCTTTTTTGTACGGACCTCGCTGCGCTCGGTCCGTACTGTCAAGACCTCGGGCCGATATTCTCCAAGTACGGCCCTCCCGCTTGGTTAATAAGATATATATATATATATGTACACGTTATAAGTTTTATAAATCTAAAATAATGAAAAGTAACAAAAAAAATACACACTTGAATGAGATAAATGTACTAAAAATTCTCACTGTTTACGTACTCAAGAGGCTGAGTACATTATCATTTTTATCATTATTATTATTTTATTATTATTATTATTATTATTATTATTATTATGCTAGTTATAATATTATAAGAGCTAGACCTAGGTGCTGTAAAGAAGGGCGAAAGCCAGGCGACTACCATGTCATGGATCAGGGCAAGAGTTTCCTTTGCGCTGCTGAGCCCAGCATTACTTTGTTTAAAAGGCTCGCAAGTTTCTAGTAGAGTTAACTTAGAGTTGTCGGACATTGACTTGGACATCGAAAAAGGACGTGCTGATATTTGCTAAGGCATTGAGAAAGCTATTTCTGAAGAACTCTAGCCAAATCCAGGAATACTGAGCCAAGAAGTGTTTGGCAGTTTTATAGTCGACACTATTATTTCATATCTAATACGATGTTTTTAGACTTTTTATAAAATAAGTTTTTAGCCTAGTTTTTTTTGTCACATTTTTTGAAAGCTAAGCCATTATCTTGTTTTTCTTATATATTTGATGATTATGTAAATAGGTATCATTTTTATTGCTATAAATAAAGAATTATCATCATCATCATCATCATTACTATTTTTATTATTATTATTATTATTATTATTATTATTATCATTATTATTACTGTCATTGTCATTATTAGATCGTTCCTTCCTAGCACGCTTGCAACAACGTCTAATTGGTTCAAAGTAGATTGTATGTAATCCTTAGAACAAAAAAAACCTTCTGATCTTTACAAAGCTCTTTCAAATACGGACAAGTCCATGTTTTTCTTTATTCACACCGGGAATTAACGCTGCTTAAGATTGACATCACGTTTTACGATTTGCGGTCACGATTACGACATATGCACGCTACCAGGACCTATATCAAATGAAGGCCTGGAGGCATGAACCTGGCCTGGCTGCTAAGTTAACCCCGAAACCATGTTGAAGCTCAAATATGGCGGCCGAGGAGGAGTGGTATTTTGAGGAAGAAGGGTACCTCCAGTTCAGTGGCCGACCAACTTCAGTGACATTTTCGCCCACATCAAACTGCTTCATCTGTACGCTCAACGATGGAACAGTTGAAGTCGTGGATGCGCGTTCTAGTCTACGTTTGAAGCGGACAGAGCCGGCAGTAACAGGTTTGTACAAACTGATCGAAGCATGTGTTTTTCATGCAGTTAGATTACGCAATTTCAGATGTTTGTAACTCACGTCCGTTGGACAGGAATCACCTACCGCTAATAATAATTAGTCATCGCCACAGGAGTTTGAACTTACAAATGGTCAGTGCTTTGTCTTTTTGAGATCCAATTTCTGCATGTGTTACTGTTGGCTAGACTTTGTAAATGCCCACGTACATTGTAAAATCAAAACCAACTGTTCGATGATTGTTCTGAAGATCTAGTACGTGAAGGCTTTTGTAGTTTAAGGAGAGAAGGTGGTCATTTCAGCATGTTGCATTTGATTTTTGAGGCCTGAGAAGAAATCATTGATTAATGGTGTACAGCTTTCAGAATGGAAGTCACAACTTTTAATTTAGTAGCCAAAGTCATATCGTATCTTGACTTCAAATGCAGCAAAGCACCACACTTACCTTCAATTTGAGCTAATTTGAAACTGAATTATTTGTAGCCCTGTGATCTTTACAATGGTCTGAATGGAGTCAACTGACAAAACAGACTCAGGGGCCCTCCATTCAGACCCTCCATAGAGCCCTTCACTCCCCAAGACCAAAATAGTGATTCTCCTTACTGTTCACCATTCCTTATGTATTATTTGTAGCTAAGAATTTAATGTTCAATCAAACATTGTCACCCTGGTTGATAATTTTTTCACTTCTCATCACATTTCTGATTGAAAATACGTAAATTTTGATACCATGGGGCAATTTTTAATAGTCATTTTAGGGAGAAAATGATTTTTCTTGTTTTTGATTTTTCTCATGTAGTCTATTATAAACAGTAAAGAAATTGGCAAGAATTTTATCGGTGAAAATAACCCTCATCCACTTGATTTAAGTAACTTTTTAAGCCTTTAAATTCTGAGTGACCAGCGCCAAGTTTCTCCTTACATTGTACCACATAATCAGTAAGGCCATGAGAATTAAGGAAAAGATCACCAAGCTAATTGGCACTGATTGTTACACAAAGTAAATGAACTCTCTTTGTCAGTAACAAAGGAAACATATAGAGAGGAGCATGGATAATGTACATATGGATGTACATTATATCAACTACCACTAACTGTTTCACAGTTTGAATGTGCTCAGGGATAGTTATTACTCCAACATCGCATTGTGTTTATTATACCAAGGAAAAGTTAAGGCTATTAATGCACCTAGACTTTAGACAGACCGTAACCTCTTTCATAATTATTTCCTGTATAGGAGAGTCCAAGTCCCTTCAATGTAAGTTTTGTCCTGAGGTAGAGAAGCTGTTTATCACAAATGGATATGTGTCTGGGCTAAGAAAGGATTTTAATGGCGTCTTGCTGCTGGACAGCATTTTACAGCCTCCTCTCAGAGGTCCTTGCATGGAACCGGTCGTGTTAGAATTGACTCTCTCAGATGTAAGTATAAAGTAAAAGGAACAGAAGAGTTGACAAACAGGCTTGGGATAGATTGAGAAATGTTTCAGTCTCTGATGGGATCAGTTTGGTGTGTTTTTGAGGAAGGAACTTAAAATACATAGTTTGTTTTACTCATACAGAAGTGTAATTGTACATGATTGATTTTCATCTCAATTTTGTTTAAAGAGATGGAGAAGGGGTGCTGCCTGAGGATGAAGGATTTATAACACTCTTAGTTTCTTTAACCTAGTAAAAGTGACTGGCAACTAATTGATCCTTTTAAGATCAACCCTGCATTAATCATTGAGGTCACAAGAAGAAAGGAAATGATCACCAATGATAAAGGCTCTTGATTATGAGACAAATTTTCCGAGTAGTGTTTTCATTGTTAGTCCATCTATAGATAAATCCTGTACTTGTAAACTGTCCTTAGATCTCCCCACCTCGATTAGCTCTTAAGCTATTAGCAGGGAGAAACCAATGTACTTAGCTATATTTCTAATCATAAATAAATTGTTGTTGTTGTCAGCACCTTACAAAATGTACAGAGAACAGTATGGAGATTATGCATACTGATATTAGGGTGTAAAGGTTATGCTGCAGTGTGGAATGAGCTCCTCCAGATGAGCTGTGGTTGCCTTTTCTCAAGGCTGGTGTACATGTACATTGTACATTTATAATTGGTGGTCATGGTGTGAATTGAATAATGAAGGAGTGCAAAAGGTTGTAATATATTTTTAGTTTCTAATGTGAGTGCATTTTCAGGCTCTGCAATTACTGTCAGCTATGGAATTGTGTATTTCTTCTGGAGAGGATGATTTGAAGATGAAGAGTATTAAGGCTGTGCATTCTTTGCTGAAAGAAGAAGTAGACAAAGCTCAGTCACTGTTGAGCTCCAGTCATGATAAGGCAATTAAGGTAGGCATGTGTTGCCATGGACACTAAGTTATAGTTGACCCTCAACATTAATCTCTCCCTAGAGAATCAATACAGTTTCAAGAAGAAACTTATGATAATTTCTCGAGAAAGTGATCTGTCTGATGCAACAAAAGCTGTATTGTTGCATAATTAAGTTTAAGTTAAATAAAACTTTGTCATGCTAATACAAGTCAATAAAATTACAGAAAATACAAAAACTGCGTGAGTGGAGAATATTTGGGGGAAACTAATTAACAATTATTCACCGAAGGCGAGGTGAATATTGTCG